CCCTGTTCTCCAAATACAAAGGCGGCGAGTCCCTGGAACCGGCCTATTACGACTGCCGGTTCCCCCAGAGCGTGGGCAGGAGCCATGCGCTGGTGTACGGGCCCGGCGGCTCGGCGCCCGGCTTCCAGCACGCCTCGCACCACGTCCAAGACTTCTTCCACCACGGCACCTCGGGCATCTCCAACTCGGGCTACCAGCAGAACCCGTGCTCGCTGAGCTGCCACGGAGACGCCTCCAAATTCTATGGCTACGAGGCGCTCCCCAGACAGTCCCTTTATGGGGCTCAGCAAGAGGCGAGCGTGGTGCAATATCCCGACTGTAAATCCTCCGCCAACACTAACAGTAGCGAAGGACAAGGCCACTTAAATCAAAACTCGTCTCCCAGCCTCATGTTTCCATGGATGAGACCCCACGGTGAGAAGCCTTTTCTCTTTCCCCCTCGGTCTCCCGCGCTCCGGGGTCTCCCCCTCCCTTGCCTCCTTTTTGTCTGTCCTGGCTTTCCCTCCTGGCTTTGGGGTCTCCCCGGCCCCACCTAGGTGCCTGAGTGGGTTTCTGGAGGTTGGGAGGTTCAGCTGGGGGTGAGGCACGGGGCTTGCCCGGGATATTGGGGGGACTGGGGTGAAGGGGGAAAGGTGGTGTCTGGGTGCAAAGGGTTAAAAATCGTTTTCTCACCTCTGTCTGTCTGTCCGTCTCTCCCTCTGACCATCTCTAAGATCAAAGTTGGTGAGGTGGCTGGGAAGGGGCCTGAGGACCCTGAGGTTATCAGCCTTTGGAGCAATCAGGGTCTCCATAAGGCACAGAGCCTTCCTCCAGGACAGTGGGCAGGCTTTCCTGGGGTGAAGGGAGACCCCTGTCTCCCTCCCCTGTCTGGGCCAGAGGGTGGTAAGACCCCAAGAACAGGTGCTCTGGCTCTCTGGGGGCACCCCCTGCCTTCTGTCAGAGAGCTGGCCTTAGGGCCACTACCCCAACTTTGCTGTACTTCCCTCCATTGCAGAGGAGAGAGGAAGCCAGAGAGGAGAGAAGAGTGCTCTCAAGGAGGGACCAGACAGATTGGAGGGCTCTGAGGTCCTAGAGAGCCTAGCCAACCTACCCCCAGTGAAAGGCTAGTTGAATCTCCTGGAGACCCTAAGAGTGACGCAGGTCATGTGCCCCTCAAAGGGTGGCCCCTCCTGGCCCAATTTCGAAGTAAAAGGGGAAGCGAGAAAGCGACAAGTTCCAGCGGGGATGGCCCGTGATTTATTTGCTGGTCTCCAGTTAGCAATCAGGCCAAGCAGTGATACATTCCAGGAGATCAATTATTTTCCTTCCTGGCAAAGCCTTAGTCAGAGAGATTTGATGAGGAGACAGTGAGCAAAGCCCCTCTTCTTTACCCCCAGACCTTTTTCCTTTTTGGGGGGAAACAGACTGTCCCCAGCCCTGCTCACCAAATGCCACTCTGCACTTGTAAACAAAGCTGCAAGGGCCCTTTTCCTGGGACTGCAGGCCCGGGAGTACCCTGCATGACCCCCCCCCCCCCCGCCCCTGCCATCCCCCAGGTTCCAGAAAGACCCCCTTTCAGCCCCCACCTCACCCACCTTCCAAGGGGAAGCAAACCAAAACAAGGTCCCAAAATTTCCTGCCCTTGCCTGCTCTCGCCCATCTGCCCTTGCCTGTTCTGCGGGAGGAAAGGGAACTGGGAGATCGGAAGGAGGACTTTAGGGGAGAAAGAATGGCAGGGGAAAGCTGAGCCCCCACCCAAACATAACAAGACTGGGGTTCTGTTCTGTCCAGCTCCCGGGCGGCGCAGCGGAAGGCAAACTTACAGCCGGTATCAGACCTTGGAACTAGAAAAGGAGTTTCTCTTTAATCCTTATTTGACACGAAAGCGCCGGATTGAAGTCTCTCACGCCCTGGGACTGACTGAGAGACAAGTGAAGATCTGGTTCCAAAACCGAAGGATGAAGTGGAAAAAGGAGAACAACAAGGATAAACTGCCCGGAGCCCGAGATGAGGAGAAGGTGGAGGAAGAAGGAAACGAGGAAGAGGAGAAAGAAGAGGAGGAAAAGGAAGAAAACAAGGACTAAGCAAAAAAGAGAGACCCCCCCCCACCCCTTTAGCAACTCCCTTGAAGTTTCGTTTTATGGTAGCGGATAAATTGAGAAGTTTACGACTGTCATTTGCTTTTATAGAGAATAGAATGACACTCACAACTCTAACTACCTGTCAGATACTTGCAGTTCTGGTTTTATTACCTTTGGACTTCCCCCATCTTTATTTGTTGGGGGGCCGGAGGGGGGAGACTGAGACACAGCGAAAAGTTCGGAGTCTCTGTCTCAGTCGTTGCCCCGACACACACACTTGTCCCTACCCCCACCCTCAGAGACCAGCCAGGATTGTAAGGTCTGAGACCTGCCCTCTTTGCCCCCTCTCTCGCCCCTTCTTGCCACACTCCCACCTCCCTGCTCCTTTGGTATTTATTTTAGAGGGGAGCCCCCCTTAAAATGAAGAAGACTCATGGCTTTGTGTTTATGCTAGGATTAGATTATTAGATTTACTTCTTTTCAAAGGAAAGAAAAGAATGAAGGAAGGAAAGGAAAAGGGGAAATGTTTAAAGAAATAAAAAGGTGACAGCAAGGAATATTCCTTCTCCCTTTCTGGGGCTCCCCTCCCCCCATTAGGAAGACCACCCCCCACCCCACCCCCACCCTTTCCAGAGGGTAGACAGGAACCTGCAGTTGCTGAAAATCCTACCTAGTCATCCCATGGTCACTCAGGCCCATGCCTCCCTCCCCTTCGCTGTCTGATTTCTGTTGTTGGGCCTAGCTTCCTCTGAGCTGCATTAGTGTTAGTGCTCAGAAATCACCATAATCATGAAAACAATAATACTGATAATAATACTGATAATAATAATACTGATAATAATAATACTGATATCTTTAACATACTACCTAAAGGGAACCTGCAATAATCTTGAAAAATAAAAAAGAGAAATTTTTAGAAATCCTAATATGGGAGAAAAAAAGAGAAAAATTTTAAAATGAAAAAAAAAAAACCTCCAATGTATTTTATCACTACCTATAGAAAGAAATCCTGCTTTGAGAGTATTCGTAATGCGGTTTTGTTGTCGTTTGTTGCTGCTTATTTCACTAAGAAAACCCAACAACTGAGACTGCCTAGCTCGCCGGTCCTGTGCGCTTTTATTGTGCTTCTAACCCCAGTAGAGTAGAACTAAATTGCACTGAATGTATAGTTAACTCTGTCTTGAATTCTCTGTTTATGCAATGTGCTCGAAAGGAAAAAAAACGTTAAAAATATATCTATAATAATAATTTTTGGTCATTTGTCTTTACGTCCAGCTATGAATGTAGATTTTGTGTCCCGGCAGCCCTGTTCCTGGTCCAAGTACTTTGTATTGTATACGTGAGTCATAATAAAAATTTTAAAAAAGGAGAAAAATATGTGAATCTGGAATGACTTGTTTCTTTCTCCAAAACCCCCTCCCCATGACCTGCCCCTCTTCCCCTCCTCATCCTTTTTTCGTAACACTCTGGAAAAGGTCTCCTCCACTGACCTGGCTTTGGGGTGTGGGGGGTGGAACTCATGTAGAGTTGAGAGGGCAGGCTGGGCTGGGAGGGCAGGTGAAAGGAGGGAGATGAAGAGGAGGAGGAAGAGCAGTATGCTCTTGGGAAAACCTTGGCTCCAAACAAAGTGGGTCTCTGGATGCCAGGATCCCAATGGGGAGAAAGCATCTCCCCACTTATCCACCTTACTCCTCCTCAGCCCTGGGCTGGGCCCAGACAAAGAATCTGCCCCCATGCCCTTCCCAAAGCTAGGCTTTTCATTTCCAGGGCTGGGGCTGAGGAGGGGGCAATGAGGTTCTTTCTGATCGCCACATGCACCTCATGGCCAACCCTGGGCAGCCAGCACCCACCACTAGAACAGTGAACACGATGGGGAAAACATGAGGCGCAAGGCAGCCTGGAGGACTTGGCTGGAAGATGCCTAAGGATGAGGAAGCTTAGCCTGGGGGGACAGCGAGAAGAAGGGGAAAGTGCATGAGCTGGTACACCAAGCAGAGTGGGTCCACATTCTGAAATTCAAATTCAGTCAGCACAGAGCCATCCCTCACTTAACCCACTTGCTCCTACTCCAGCCTCTGCTCTAGTTGTTTCACGCCCAGTCCAGGCTTCACCTTGGCATTTGGGCAGCCTGCCCTGCCCTGTCCTGCCCTCATAGTGCAGGCCATTGGCCTGGGGAGTAGGGACAGGCCTGCTGAGTGGACA